AAAGGAATCCCACCCCTTAAGCATAGCCGTAGTGTGCTTTGGCATAATCTAATAAATCCAAAGACTACTGAAATATTAAAAGCTCACTTTCATCATAACTAGCAAATCGACATTCAAGTAATTGACTGTATGCTGTGCGTGAAAATTTTAATGACACTTTAAGAATAAATTGAAACAAAACAAGAAATAATTTTCACTATAAGAGTATTAGATTAAAACAAAAGTGAAGAATATAATCTCATAATTAAGTTATCAATTTTCTTATATTTAAGGTCATGCAGTTACTTACCTTTTTCTAATCTTTTTTAAATTATACTTTTCATGAAAAATTACCAGTAAAAACTTTATAAAAGATTACCTTTGTTAGTTAACTATGTCAGTTTAAAATTCTATTATGTGCTATAAGTTGCATAAATTTTCTATGTTTAAGTTTCCTTCTTACTTTATTAGCAAAAATTTATTAGTGAATAAAAAATATGAAAGTAAAAATTATCCTTCTTTCCATCTTGCGCTCACAAATCATCATGAGAACAACCATTTACAATTATTAAAGCCCGAAAAAGGCATGTCTGTGATGTTTTCGTCATGCGAAGATTTGTAGATACTTTAATTTTTACCATGATATTTTTGACGTCTATGTTTTTAAACTGCGAAGTTTTCGAACCGCTTTATTTTCGACCACGATATTTTGTATTATTATTTTTTAGAACTGTGATGTTTTCTCTTTGCGATGTTTTGTAGCACGATGTTTTCGCCTTGCGTTGTTTTCTCCGCGACGTTTTCGTCCGTCGTGTTTTTGAAGCGATGTTATCGGCGGATACCAGACTGGTATTGCTGAGATGCGAACACTTGCCTGTTCTGGTGACATTACCTTCTTTCTGAAACTTATTTTTTTTAAGATTTAGGTTTGTCAGTTGTATTGTAATCAGACCATTAATCCACTGGGTCACCAGGTTTTGAGCTATTATTGCCATTGTCCATGATGTTGTTTGCATTTACTAGGTTCTGTGGGAAAATCCTTCCAATTGTCATTTTCCCATATTCTTTGCTGCTTGTTGTGTCTGCAACGTAGCTGATGTCCAAAGTAGAACACATGGATTTTACATATCTGATTTCATTGCAAAACATGTGGGCTTGATTTATCTGGTTACATTGCAAGATAAGGGTGAGAGGTTTGTAATAAAATGTTGCATGAAACAAAGAATTGATTTTTAAAGTGTACAAATGTTCAAAGTGCAAAAATGATATACAGTTAGTCAAAAGAAGATGCACATCAGCGGCCGAGTGGTAAAGTCGCTTAATACTGGTAGTTTGGTCCGAGGTTCGAATCCAGCGAGCGGGCTGGCTGCATGGGTGTTTTCGTGGTTTTCCCCATGTGTAACGTGTATACGAGCCAGTTTCTCTTAGAAAGTCCTCCACGAAGGCATCCCTTCCCTTAGGTAGATAGCCCTTGAGGCTTTCCCGTAATTAAATAACCTAACCTAGTCAAAAGAAGATATACTATAACAGATTTGTGTGAATCGGTGTCATATGTCCGATCCTTCTAAGCATATGATCAAAAGGAGTTTAAGGAAAGGCTCTTCGTTTTCCAAGGGATGTACATGTGTGATTCATGGAGACATGCCCATTATATCCTACTCCGTGCCATACCAGTTTCCTTCAATGGGGGGGGGGGAGATAATCACTATCTGCTAAGCCGTGACCTTTTTGAATTTAGTTGTGATTTGATGTCACGAAAGGCATCTGAACTGTCACCCTTTGCGCTGCACTGTGGATACTGCAAGTTAAGAATTCCTACGTTTGTTTGTGGGCTGCTAATTAATGTTGCACTGTGTTTTTTCATTGTGAATGTGTTTTTTTATTACTGAATTTGATTTAAGTAATTTAAGAAAAATAGTTATGCTATTTTGGTTTTTAAGTTTACACTGATAGTTTGTATTTATTTGTTTAGTATTTGTTAATAAATATAGCTATCGACTTCTATATAGAGCTAAAATGAATGAAGTCTTCTTTCATGCCTGCTCGATGTTGTGTTCCAGGCTGCAAATCGAAGTACAATAAAACCAGTGAATATATACAGGTATTCAGGTTTCCAAAAAATACATTAAAATGGGATTTCTGGATTAAAATATTCCAAGTGAGCGTTGTGTGTGAGAAATATTTTAGAGAAGATGATATTATTCAGTACGGTTGTTTATGAAAAAATGAAGGCACTGTTATTTAAGTTTGTAAAAGACACCCTAAATTTTAAATATGGCTTATCCTTGCATTTTTTCTGGTTGTCCAAAATACTTATCTGAGAATCCAACACCTCCAAGGATGAGCAGAGGGGAGGGGGGCTGGATGAAATTCCATCTTTTGAGGATTGTCTTCTTCGTTATGGAATAAACTAAACATTTCAGATGATTCAGATATAATTTCACATAAAATCTGCTGATGGAATTTATATTTTATATCTCAGTTTTAATCTACAATCTAAAATTGGGAAAAGTGTCTGTGTATCATTTCATATGAATGCAGCAGGGTTGCTTGAAAATGAAGCTGCTGAAATGGGAGTATTTAAAAATATATTAAAAGGAAATACTTAACTTATTTATGGACTGAATTTAAAAACACTTATAGTTATGTCAAAAGAATAGTAATTAAAAACATTAAAATCGAACTATGACTTATCAGTATATAACCATAGTTCGACTGCCTTAGCCCGACCCTGAGCACAGACACACATGTGCCTTTTGGACTGATTTATTCTCAAAATAGGGTGGGTGAAATTGGGATAAAATCATGTCGTAGGAATTGTTTCCCATTTATTTGTACAGCATTCAGAGGGCACAGACATAAGTAATCTAAACTGATAATGCTGGAAACCTGTTGATGGTTTCGTTTTCTTACAAGAAAAAGAATACTTTTGCTAAAGAATATAGTTCCATGAGTTTTAGTGACCTTATCTATAAAAATAAGGGGTAAAACATGGATTGTTCAAATTGAATTCATACATTGTAAAAGAAAAAGAAATTCAACGTTTCCGGGATGCAAAACTTAGGATTTATTTCTGCGAGTACCCCCCGGCGTAATGACATGGGGACTTTCTTTCCTTTGATCATATAAATTCCCTCTTTCTGGCGAAGAGATAAATTTGCCGTGACCGCTCATCTCGCGGCACATAACTAACGCCCCTTTTGAACGATTCTATGTGTTTTGACAGAATGCCAGCCAAGGTTGCATTTAAGACGGTCGAACTATAGGAAGCATACATTGAATAAAAATCCACATGAGAACCTTACTTGAGAAATAGGACATTTTATTTTGGAACACTTGAAGATGTGTAATAAAAGTAAAATGGCTAGAAGGTACTAGTCCTTGCTTATTTGTTATACATTAGCCCACAAGCCACTGAGCAGTAAAAGACATTGAACACTGGTAGTTCTCACCTGGGTTCGAATCCAGGTGAACAGGCTGACTGCAAGGGCATTTTCATGTTTTTCCGTATGTGTAACGTATATACGAGACAGTTTCTCATAGAAAGTCCTCCACAAAGGCATCATTCAGACAGATAGCCATGTTTTGTCATAATAAACTAAATCAAGTCAAATCAAATCATTATACATTAAGTAAGTTGCTTGTTATAGTAACCTCTATGACAGCCAACTAATCTGCCTTCCATCCATTAAACATCTCTGAAAAGTCCTAGGCTTATTAAAGCTTGGTGGATCAATGAGTAGTAAAGCTAATTGCAAATATGTTAAGTTAAAAAACTACTGAAACATAAACAATTCGTGAATTTATTGATTGATAAAGTTCGAATGAAAAAGGTGACACAGAAAGGAAAAAACTTAATTGGCTTTTCTGAGAATCTTGAAAGTGTTGAAGAAACATTTGTTTAGTCCTTTGTAATTTCTTCTTTATTATCAGATTGTAAAGATATCATTGCATTAGTAATAATTTGCTTGTTGTAATGTTGTGCAAAATTATATTTTATTTAATTTATGTTGTTAAATGTCAAGAGGATTTCAGGAAATTTCAATTCTTTTGTGACTTTTGATTTCGTGTTCTTTTTGTTAGATATAATAACTGAAATGAATAAAAAGTACATTTGCATACTTTTTAAAAGCTCTGAAGTATTTATAATTTTAAAGAATTGGATGTGTTGCTGATCTTTTATTCAAGTTATTCTTAAAATTATAAACTGCCATAATGATTAATAAATAATTATATTGTGATAAGATAATAAAAAATCATTTTTATGTCTTCTAATTGACTAAATAATGTTTATATTTTATCAGTAAATTATTTATACTTTGCAACTTATCATTCCTTTCCTTCACATCTGTGAAATTAAACTTGCAAAATTTGGGATCACTGAAATCAAGAGTATATTTGTAAACATATTTTTCGGAGTATTTATTAAAGAATTTTATTTACATCAGTATTTAGTAGACGTAAGAATAATCAATCTGTCTGTAAAGATTTATTTATGTTAATAAATAGCAACCTTTTTTTTTTATTTATTTTAAAACTTTGATTTTCAGCAAATCTTAAAAAATCATCTCTATGCAGCATAAAAATAACCGTACAAACTATCGTGAAACGTTGGATAGAAAATTTCGTGAATATTTCTTAAAATAATGCCTATTTAGCTATCAATCTTAACTGCAAATAAATAAATAAATGACCTTTTATACCATAAAGTTTTTCAGTAAGTCTCTGAAAATTTAATTATTGTGCATTATTTAAAACAAAAGAATCTAAACATTTAACAACGCCATATTCAAACCTGAAGCAAAGTCGCAGAAGAATCATGCCTTCCATGACGTCATTCTGTAGCTAACCGGGCCACTTGGACCTGACTAGGCCCTCTGTTTGCTCACAACATGATACACTCACAATACTGAGAAGATTGCATTATATTCCAAATCACTCTTTTAAGAAATATACTTTAACAATGTATAGCAGCTGCACATTTCTTCCGTCTAAGACTTATTTTCTTAAAATTATTATAGTTGGAAGTCATGTCAGCTGGTGCTGGTCAATGTGTATGCGAATTAAAGATAGCAAATGAACATAAGAATCGTGCTGGACTTTTACATGGTGGAATGACTTCAACACTTGTGGATGCTGTATCAACAATGGCTTTGTTTAGCAAAATTGAAAGGCCTGGTGTTAGTATTGAAATGAGTGTTTCGTGAGTATTATTTTTCGCTTAATATTAATCACTTATAATGAGATTTAATCTAATTAATTATGCCCGTGTCTGAATTAGGTTTTTAAGTAAGTATTTCTTATGTAGTTTTGTAATTTATACGCAAGTTTAAATCTTCAATGTAGGTTTTTTTTTTTTTTTAAATTTATTTATTTATTTTTTTATGAGTAGACATTCTTTAATCATCCTTTTTTTTTTAATTTTGTTTAAACAAAACTTTCCTTTAAATGTTATCTTTATTCTTTTACTGCTTCTTTCTAAAGGTAAATATTAGAGTGGGAGTAAATCCGCAATCTTCTGAAATTCTGGTCCTAAAAAGTTCTTTATTAAGAAACTGTGTGTTAGCGGGGAGTAATGTTAAATGTTTGGTATTTTCCTTTTATAGTGGCCTCTGCAAAAAGGGGAAGTTGGTATTGGTAAGGAACAAAAAATTACTGATTTGGATTAGTGTGTGTGATTCAAGTAGTGAAAATTTTCTCTTTTAAAACATAATGTTTTTTTCTTCTTGTTAAATATTAATATGCACATTTCTGTCCAAACACTGAACAAAATATTACTAATTTAGGCATGTGAAAAATATTTTGGTATTTTCCCCATTTTCATGGGCCACATCATAATGCCACCAAGATAATCACCAAGTTCATCTGAATTGAAGTAAATTGCTTATTTCTTGGAAGATGCATGTAGCATCATCCTTAGTCGGCAGGAAATCAAAAATTGTTAGCATTAAAAAAAGGGAGAAATACATCGAAATGTAGTCTACTCAGAAAGCTTCCTCAGTTGTATTTGGAAAGTTGGAATTGTTTTTGACACGACTTATTTAATGTCAGCTCCTCTGCCCAACAGTAAATAAATTATATACTGTTTTACAAACTATATTCTGGAGCCATTGAACCAGTTGTTGGAATGTTGTTGCTTTTCTTTCCATGTAACCTTTTACAGTACACCGTCAATGCTTTCGTTTAGACTTAGTTTTATTTCATGGCCATTCTCATATATTTGAAGGCATGGCAAAATGCCCATTTTTTGGAAGAATGATGTAGCAGTTTTATTTCTTGGCCATTTGTACATTTTTAGAGGCATGATAAAATGTTTGTTTCTTGGAAGAATAACGTAGCATTATCTTCAATGGTCATAGTAAATAAAAAAAAAATTTTTTTTAAAGATGAACTGCATTGAAAGTGGTCTACTCATAGCTCTATTTTCAGTCATCCATAAATCAAAAAATTGTAAATACATTTTTGAAAAAGGAAAGTGCATTAAGGTGTGGCCTACTCATAGCTTTATTTGTGGTGAATAAATTAGATAAGCAGTTGTTGTTAATGTAAATGTCAGTCCAACTTTCAAGTGGTGAATACAAGATTTTGCAAAATAAACAACATCACTCAGTGATCATCTAACAGAATTGCAATATATTTCTTAAAGTAAAATCAAAACTGACCTACTGTTATCTTTTGTGTGCTAATTTTTTTTGTGCAGTGGCTAAATAAATAGAGCATGTGTCTTATTTTGCCAAATTTAAATACTTTACATTAGGATAGTTTTTGTGGATTTATATAGCTAACTTGGTGGCAGTTTAAAAATGGAGGTCTGTAAAAATGGGCAAGTACTAGTTTTTTTTTTTTTTTTTTTTTTTTTTTTTTAATTTTGAATAAGTACATGCTGATAAATTTGAAGTGTTTCTTGAATTCTGAATACAGTCAAAAGTCGTTAATCCGGACTCGTCGGGACTTCGGCGATTCCGGATTATCGATTTTTCCGGATTATAGATCATCAGTTTAAATCTCGTAAGATCGCATGCAGAAATTCTAAAATTAAAAGTATGAAACCGTAATTTATGAAATAAAGAACAATTATGATCTAAAGGGTATCAAAATTACAAACAAAAAAAAAAAAAAAAAAAAAAAGCTTAATATTTATTTGTTTACTTTATTAAACATTTCTTTCAATGTAAATTGTTTTAAGTTGCTTCGTTTTATGTGATAGTACTTTCTCTTTAATTCTATAAGCAGACACAATTTCTTGCTCAGTTACAAAGTTCCGCTGTTCAAGTCCCGTTAATTGTTGTGCCGAGAATACCGACTAACTTGTCAATCGAAATTTTTTTGTTTTCACTAACCTCTCTGTCACACTCTTCATGTCTTTATCCATTTTTTGCAGCAATTCCACATTTGTTTGATGGACATCGAAACATACTTTCGTTTTGTACGATCCTTTGGGAGCTCCAGAATCAGAAATTCTATTTGACATAATCTAAAGTTCAAGTTTACTTTTATAAAATTGCTCTTACAGTCTGCAAAAAATAATAATCCGGATCCAATTCGAAAATTAAGGAACAATGCAATCATCAACATTAACTGAAATAGATAATTAGATAATTTTAGATTATGCCGTCCGTTATACATAAAACGCACACGCATAAACGTATTCTGCGCTTGCACACACGCATATGCACAGTGGTAAAAGGTCTTACGCGCACACGTAAACGCCTATGCGCATGTGTCAATGCTGCGCATGCGCAGAAAGTTTTTAGCTTTGAGGTCCGGATTATAGATCATTCTGGATTATGGGTGTCCGAATTAACGACTTTTGACTGTATTTGTAGCATGAAGTTAAATGAGCAAGCTTCCAACATGCTGTTTTGTTCCACTTTAGATGCAAACATATTAGACATATTGTTTATTGACAGTTATTAATTTACTTAAAGTAACTCCAAAATTGCTTTAAAAATGAATAAATGATCACTAAAAATCAGACTTAACAACTAAGATGATAGGAATTAGCAGGTTGAGGGATTAGAAACTACAAGCGTACGACAACAATAGCTGGGTGAAAGGTAAATACAAAAAAGTGGGTACCTACGGAAAATCTTGTCGACCGGAAGAGAGACCGCCAATCATACCAAAACAAAAAAAAAAAAAAAAAAAACATTTACTAAATACATGAAAAAACATTCTATTTTTAAATAAAGTGCAATTTCGTGGCCATTAACCCTTTTTTTTAGGTAAGTAAGATTCCATAACTTTGGAAATATTCAACAGCATGGTCTTCTGCAGTAGGCAGGTCCCAAATATTAATAATTTTTTTCAAAAATACGTGATAGAAGGGGGGAATGAGTCTTTACTCAAGAATAATAACGGCATCTTTTCTAATAATTGGCGTCTTTAATAGGCAAAAATGGTCGACAGGATTTTCCGTAAGTACCCAAAAGAGTATAGTTCAGAATAATTAAATTATCAAACAATTTACGTCTTCTATTCTTTTGGTTTGTTAATTTGTTATGCTGCTTTCAATGCAAGAAAAGAGTATTAAATTTATTGAAGAAAAATTGGATTCTGAAGAACAGCATTTGATACATAGATTCAGAATTTTCTACTAGTGAAGAAAATCTCATGGAAATCTACAGAAAGTTTCAAGAATTAAATGTATTTGGTTTTAGCTTGACATCCCTTGATCAATTAGTAACAAAAATTTAATACGAGTTGAAGAAACCAAAATTACTGTATTATCTGTTAATAATAAGCATAAAATAGTTTACTATTTTTAATATTTTTTGAAAAATTCATGTGTATTTCTCTTTTTTTCCCCCCCCCACAGTTTTATCCGACCAGCCAATATTGGTGATGAGCTGTTCATCGAAGGAAAAATTTTGAAGGTTGGAAAAAATCTTGCATTTTTAACAGTTGATGTGAAAAATAAAATAACAGGGCAAATAATTGCACAGGGTAAACATACCAAATTTGTTGGAGAACAAGCTAGTACAGCCACACCATCATCTACAATTGTATCCTGAGAATTTGTGCCATGAACTGAAAAATTTTACATGCCATCATTCATACTTATGTGTAGTATATTTTTATATGTTGAAACTTCTTCCTTCTTTTGTGTTCAGTAACGTTGTTATGAAAAGAAAAAAATAAGTGTGTATTGTTTTAAATGCATTTTTTGTACAGAATCTTGAAAAATTCATGAAAAGTTTTTTAATTTTTTTAAACATATTTTAAAGCAAAATTAAACAGAGGTGAATTAAAAATGAACATAATGTAATGTTACTTGGCTGCAAATTAGAATTAGACATTTCAAAACATGCATTAATATAACATTGAAATGACAGTTTCTTTGTTTCAGAACTTGATAAAAAAAGTTAGTACAGATGTTCTAAATTATATTTCATGTTACCTTTTAGTGTTTGATATATATTTGCAATTGAAATGTATTCATCAGTTGTGTAAAACTGTAAAAAAATTTTTAAGTCTTCAACCAAATTATTGTAATAAATTTTTGAGACATTTTTTTTTCGTTAAAGAGCAAATATTATGCTTCTTTTTATTAACCAGTTGTTAACTCGTTAATCTACTAAAATTTACACTTTTCTTTTTTAAAATACAGGTTTTGTAACCTGTAATGTAATCCATTTTGTCACCATTAAGTAGTGGACTTTCAAAACGTTTTTACTTGCAGGTATAAATCTATTAATCAAAATAATATTTTAACCCTTTCAGGACGGGCGTCCCATCCACGCATAAGTAAAGATCGCATTCAGAGGACGGGTGATGCGTATACGCATTTTAAAGTGGAACGTTTTTCTGAAGGCCACTGGATGGCATCCTGTGTCCATTACTTTTGAACTGAACACAGTTTTAGGTTACTGACCTTGAGTTTGATATATTCTGCTTTCTTTGGTATTTTACTCATCAGCTGTTTGAGGGTGGGGGGGGGGAAGGAAAGTGTAAACAGAGGTGGGCTCTTTAAATCGCTGCGTGCAAAACATTCTCGTATCTGATTTATATCCAATTCCTTTTTTTATTCTATTTTTTCCTCTACTATGTGCGGTCTTTTAGGGTTACTGTGCGGAGTTTTTTTACGTTTTGCATTACCTTCAGATATATTTCTGTTCCTTCTTTTTTTATTTAGAAAAGCCTCACCTCCAGTCTATTACGGCGGGAAGGCGCTATTTATCAGAAGAAGAATACCCTCGTATGGTTCGTGAACCATTTACTAACGCAAATGAGAATACTGATTTATTTTCTAGAGTTAAAAAGTGATACTTTTTCTAAGAGTTACAAAGTGATACTTCTCTTGCTTTGAGATTTACCACACTCGTTTTCATTTTAAATTTTGTTACTTCTTACTGTAAATAGTCTTTATTGTGTTCTTTTTATTAATTTTAAACTTTATTGATGGATTTTATCAATTAAAACTTTGGAATAATTTGATAGCGCTTCTGAAAATTATTTTAGAAGATAACCAATTTTTTAAGTATATTTTCATGTAAAATAAAGAAAAAAAAATGTTTTAAGGGCTTATTTTAACATATATAAGAGCTCAAGTAATAATCTAAAATGATACCAAAAATTACGATGCTAGAAGCGAAACTTTTGTTTTTCTGATTTCTGTTACAAAATTAGCCTTAGCGATGCAAAACCTCCGTCCTGTACGGTGACTGCCTTCGATTCTCTTCCGTCCCCCACGAGTGTCTTAAACAAAGGTGCGCCGTCGCGAAAAGGTTAATATAAATTTTTACATATTTCTCTACAATAGTTAACAGATCTCCATGCAAAAATCTCTTACAATGTATTTCCATTCCAAAGCACGAAGGGGGTTTTGAAAATGAGAGAATAAATTATATATTAGAATAAATAATTATTGAATATTATATATATTTAAACTCTGATTTTTATGTGTATATATATTTATTTGCATTGAAAATAAGATTCATTTACTCTGAAGTCAAAAACTGTAGTATGCACTGGAGAAAAAAACAAAAAAAAAAAAAAAAAAAAAAAAAAGATTCACTCTGAAAAATTGAATTATTTCATACCGTCCCTTTATAAGAACTCCCATAATCAAGTGAATAAGACCATGATAAGTCAATAGTTCACCCCAGAATTGATTCTGATAGCTGAACATGCTAGATGTGTGAGGCAGTCCTCTGTGAAGACTTTCTTCCATAGGCAGATAGTCCTTGAATTCTTTGCTGTTGTAATAAAAATACTGAACAAGGTTTATTAAACTGACTGTAATGTGATGAGCGATGGTAATAATAAAGGAGCTTGTTGCCTTAAGAAAACGTTCTATGGAAGTGTAGAGAACAGAAACCAGTTGTCGAGTGGTACGTGTTTAAAGTCTTGAAATAAAGATAATTTTTGTTTAATTGTGCATTATGTTTGAATAGATTCAGTGATGAATGAATGCTGTGAGAATATATGATGTGCAAGGTCCTCAATACCTCCATGGTGATTTATTTTTGGACATTGCTGAATCAGATTTTCTAAAATGTTCACAAGCATTTCTGCTTTTGACAACTCCTCATCTGTCAAGATTTCTAAACCCAAAGTCTAAAGATGCCCGATAACCTGTAGCATTTTTCTCTATGAAACACCATAAACGTCAACAGAAATGGTCCACATATGACAGAGAATTATTTTCAATTTATTCTGCAATTAAAAAATTTTCAGATCAGAAACTGTTAATATATGCTTTTAAGAGGGAGAATCTCTATAAATGTTTACCTTTATAGAGTCTTAATTATGTTTACCTTGTCAATTATGTCTTTGTTATTTGTGTTACATTGTCAGTTCCTCATTTAGATTACATTTCTGAGTTTTTTAATGACATTAGGGATGTGCAGGATTCCAAGAACGTCAATGCTGATGCTCTTTAGAGAATTTAATTTGATTCTATAACAGAATCACCAATTTTGGATATTCAAAAATTTTCCAAAGCTCAATAGCATGATCTGGAGGTACTACACTTGTTCAAAAACAATGTCATCTTTGAAGCTGAAATTCAAACCTTGCTTGATACTGTGATAATAATATTCTTTCTGACCATCTGTACAGACAGACGTTCCTCGTTTTTTTGTTTCCTTTCATAGACTCCTTTAATCCTGTGTAATCTTTCACATCAAGGAACTGAAGTTACTGCAAAGCTATTTTTTTCTCATTATGTATGGCCCGATATGAAGTGTCTTATCAAAAATTGGGTGAAATCTTGCCAGATATCAAAATTATATAGGCATACTAAAGCACTACTAGGTCTTCCTGATAGATGCTTTTCAAAAATTCACATGGATATTGCTGGCTTGTCAGAAGTAACATTTAACATTGTAATGTATTGACTCTAATACATAGATTCTTTAGATGGCTTGAAGCTGTACCGTTCCCCAATATGAAATTTGAAACTATTTTCAGAGTTATTTTCAACATATGGGTATCTTGCTTTGGTTTACCATCGGTCATAACAATGGACGAAGGTTTTCAAATGAGATCCATAATGTTTGCAAAAGTTTACATGCATTTTGTATACAATCAGAATCACAACAATAGGCCTATCATCCAATGCCAAATGGCATTGCTGAACACTTTTATCAACATTAAAGTCCTTTCTCTAGGATTATGAGACTAATAATTGGACTGTAATACTCCCATTTGTTATGATTGGTATTCAGACAGCCATCAAGGAGGATTGCCAGACCTTTTGCACAGAACTGGTGTATGGTACAACAGGCTGCCTAGTGATATGATAATAGCATCTAAGATGACACCCAATTCATCATTAGTCTACTGTAGAATGTAACAACTGATCCCAAAAATGACATTTGCACATTGCCACAATAATAGCACTTGTATTGTCCTTGAGTTTTCTGGAAGCAATTTTTGGTCCTTAGAAGTCCTTAATTTTACTCAAATTTCTGTTGTTTCTGTTTCTGTTTTAAACATTTCTGTTTGTTTTTATGACTACCAATTTGAGTGTGAATTAATATTTTTCAGTTAATTGGCAAATCTGTATTTGATGAGTTTTTGTTTGAATTCTTTCCTACTTTTTGATAGAGCACAAGACCCTGCCTTGATCAAAACATTAATATTTCAAAATTATTTCTTTTTTGAGAATGAAATATTACATCAAAGCTATCCTTTCCCTGTGCGAGATATTTCTGCACTAAATATGGGGCATTCCAGTAAAGTTTCTAAACACGGGTAGTTGCAACCTGGGTTCAAATTCCAGGTGAAAAAGCTGGCAGCATGGGCGTTTTCGCAGTTTTCCGTATATATAACATATACGCGAGCCAGTTTTCCTTAGAACAACCTCCACGAAGGCATTCTTTTCCTTAGACAGATAGCCCTTGCATGCTTTGTCGTACTAAATTTGTTGATTTCAAGATCATCTTGTATACAAAAATTTTGATTTGGATATTTGTGAATTTTTTATTTTCATTAAAAAATAATATATTAGAATTATAATTAAAAAATAGCATTAAAATAAAACAATTTCATTTTCCCTTGCCATATTTTAAAATGACATTACTTTCCATATTGGTTTTTTAAGTTTTTGTTTCCCATATAGCATTTTCAAAATATTGAAATGTGGTAACAGTTTTCTTTTTAAAATTTATTTTACACTTTTCTTTTTAGTCCAAAGGAGCAATTTGCCCAGAAGGACTATTAATTTTGTTTTGGCATTTTGTGTTCATTCACTTTTCAAATTGTTGCAGCCAAATATTAGAGCCCTGTATTTATTTAAAGAAATTAAATAATGAAGAATCTGCATAAATGTATATATGTTTCTCACATTGTGATAAAACAATGGTATCTAGAGCCATCAAATTTTGAATAACATACGTTTCCACCAGAATATGGACATCTGGAAGCTCAAATTTGGAATTTATTATTTATTTCAGATTTTATAAATCTTTAACGGATTTTTGATTAAGAAACTCGACGATTTCAAAGCGAGGAATGGCAATACTGTGCGGGCGGGGACATTTTTTTTCCTCCAGCGAGCGAGACTGTGTATTGGAAATTATAAAGATATGCTCATTTTAAAATTATTTTGCAAATATTGCTGTTGAACTGAAATTTATGGTTTAAGTGCGAAGAACATGATTTGTAATACATAAGGTAACGCATAAAGCATTAAAAAAGCCCCTTTCGACATAATATAATAACTGAAATTTATGGTTTAAGTGCGAAGAACATGATATGTAATATATAAGATAACGCATAAAGCATTAAAAAAAGCCCCTTTCGGCGTAATATAAAATCTGCAGATTTTTTATTTGATGTTTTCTGAATTTTTTATTCAAAAAACTTGTGGCTTTTTGCATAATTTTTAGGACTTGAAAGCAAGATATTTATGGACCAGTTCCAGAAAAATGTGACCAGGTGAAAGATTTTTTTTTTTTCATCAACATGCAATGAGTGTATGTCTTAGGAAGTATGTGATGAATTTCTTATTTTTTGGAAGAACAGTAAAAACAGAGTTATTTGGATTTTCTACTTTTGATTCTAGAAGTCTTCCTCTTAACATATTTATCATTTTTATCTTTTCACTAAATAGAAGCATGAAAATTTCGACAATAATTCTAATCTTGTCACATGGACAGGCATCTGTAGAAATTTTCTATTAATAAAGAAATTGAGAACTGATAATTTAACATATTCATCTTATATGCCTCACTGCACCGTACACAGGGTATTTAGCCACTTGGTGGAATCTCTTCTTGCATTCTAGCACCCAATGTCTATCCTGAATTCTGCAACTGACTGTGTATCATTTCATATTATTCTCAATACTCATATTAAAGAAATAAAATTAGCATCTTCTGTTCATTTTAAATACATGCAGTTCTTTAGAATAAAAGAAATCTTCAATTAAATCTGAAATTCTAAAATGTACAGGAAACGTATTGAGAAGAAATTTATTACATAAGAGAAAGAAAATTGTTCTTCAAAGGTATATTGTTAAAACATTAACAAATTAGGGGATGAAGCAGAGACTAGTGGGGCATTGATTTGCTTATTAAAAAACTGATGTAAATTAGCTAAAATACCTTGAAAATTTTCAAATAAAAAAAGACGCATAAATATTTTGTTGTGTGTCGCTACTATAAAAAACATGTTTTAAAGCATTTTTTTGTGTGTATTTATTGTTTTAGAATCAACATCATAAATTACATATTCATTTTAATCTTAAATTATGATTTGAATACTGTTTTAAAACCAATACTTTTTAGAAATAAAAAGTAATTGACTATGTAAATCTACAATGACTCTGAGCACTTAACTATGTATATAAGTATTTATAACTAACTGCTCACCCTTAGAAGTTATCTCTATATGTTACAGTGACTTACCATCTTTCTTTGATCTTTACTGTGAATGTAAGCCAAAACACAAAAATGTAAAAAATAACACTAAAACGTTTTTCCTTACAACTAATGATACTTAATATAAAATAACTCGCCACCTCTGGTGCTTCAACGGCTCATTAGAACTCTATGCGAGGCTACAACACTAACCACATCAGACAGACTAAGTGCAACTAACACCAATCTTGCCAATATTAGGCTTTCATATTTGTTCTGATCAGTGTCTGTCTCTTTTAGCAAGCAGCAGTGGTGGCAACAGAAGCTTGGCTGTTGCAAATGCTGGTTATGAATTTACTTCTAATTTTAACCTATATTGCATGATATAAAATGTGTACAAACCTGTGAACTGAACGAGTACGTGATAAAACAAAGCATAAAAGAAAGAATCAAAACCAGTTGTTAGTTAAACTTAAGTCTCACTAATCATCTTTAAAACATGTGGGACTATTATAAGTGTAAATTTTGAAGGGATTTTGTAATTTAATGTTTTATATCTGATAAATTATACAAAGTTCATTTTATTCTCGAATTTGTCGTATAGTTATATTGAGTAATAGATTATATTTAAAAAATTTATATAATGACATAAGGGGCATTTTTTTAACGTTTTGTGCGTTACCTTTATTTATTAAATATCATGTTCTTTGCACGTAAACCACATAAAATTTAATCCGAAAGCAATATCACAAAATATTTAAAAACAGCATATCTTTAGAACTTCAAATTAGTCTGTGTTGGAGATAAAATAATCACTTGGAAAGCTCTATGAAGGCATCCCTTCCCTTAGGCAGATAACCCTCAAGTGCTTTGCCATAATAAAATCAAATAAACCAAACTAACTTGGCAAACTACTTTTCAAGAATTATTATTTATTTTAAATCTCCACAGTTTTGTATATTCTAAAAGTAACTATATGTTTTAACTGGAAAGTTAAATCATTTTTGATCAGATTTGTATTTGAAAGATCCAGCTATAAAACTGCATACATAAATACTATTAAATTATATGGAAGAATTTACACTCTTAAATCTCCTTCTGCATCAAGTACTGTTTTTATGGGGCAAGAGGAAAAGTTATGTCCATGCAAAAATCTGTGGAATCTCTAACTAATGGTTGAGTTATTAGTTTTTTTTTTTTTTTTTTTTTTTAACTGTTTCATTTAAAACTCTTCTGACTGTTGTCATTTACTGTTAGGTTACAAGAATTGATTATTTTAATTCTGGTTATTAACACTGTATTTTAAGGCATCAAACTTGTTTGAAATGTTTGATGCATAATGATTTTTTTTTCCTTGCCAGCTTATGTTTCAAATTAGTTTTGATTTGTATAATGCAGTTCTGGCTTTATTTATAAAAAAATTGAATTATATTGAAGAATTTACACTCTTAAATCTCCCTTTGAATCAAGTACTGTTTTTATGGGGCAAGAGGAAAAGTTATGTCCATGCAAAAATCTGTGGAATCTCTAAATAATGGTTGAGTTATTAGTTTTTTTTTAACTGTTTTATTTAAAACTCTTCTGACTGTTGTCATTTACTGTTAGGTTACAAGAATTGATTATTTTAATTTTTGTTATTAACACTGTATTTTAAGGCATCAAGCTTGTTTGAAATGTTTGATGCATAATGATTTTTTTTTTCTTGCCAGCTCACCTTTCAAATTAGTTTTAATTTGTATAATGCAGTTCTGGCTTTATTTTACGTAGGTAAGTTGAAAAATAAGTTTCCCCTGTCGACTGTGGTCAGAGTTGTGTATGAAAGTAAAAAAATAGAATGAGACATTAAAGATATGACATACCTTTATTTTATTATTCTCGTACGAGTACGTTGAGACATTTGTCATATTGCTTAATAAGCTTCAAAAAGTCCTCCAAGAAAAAATCAGGGCTTTGCATACAGAAGAAGCGTTGAACGGCTTGTTTCACTTCAGTATTGCTTCCAAAGCGCCTTCCCCCGAGATTTTTCTTTTTTGCAAATGTCAGGAAGGTGGTGACATGATTAGAGTGAACCGGCGTATCACCATCGATGAAGTAGCGGAAGAACTTGGAATCTCACATCAGCGAGCTCAAAACATCATCCAGGACAATCTTCGATACAGAAAAGTGTCAGCACGATGGGTGCCCCGACGATTGACCTCGACACACAAGGAACAACGCATGGGGGTCAGCCTGGAACATCTCGTGTGTTACCATGAAGATGGCAATGACTTTCTGTTTCGGATTGTGATGAGGGATGAAACGTGGGTCCACCATTTCACGCCAGAATCGAAGGCCTCATCTATGGAGTGGAAACATCCGTCATCACCTGTCTGGAAGAAGTTCAAGACAACTCCCTCTGCAGGTAAAGTGCTCCTCACAGTTTTCTGGGACGCCCAAGGAGTTTTGTTGCTGGACTTTTTGGAGGTTGGAACTATCAATGCTACGCGCTACTGTGACACCCTGTCGAAATTGAAAGAGGCAATTCGGAAAAAGCGGCCTGGCCTTCTCACATCTGGCGTTCTGCTGTTGGATGACAATGCCAAACCACATTCGGCGATGGCAACGCAAAACCATATTGCAACTCTTGGTTGGGAGCGCCTACACCATCCGCCATACAGTCCTGATCTCGCACCAAGCGACTTCCATCTGTTTCCGGCTTTGAAGAAAAATCTCGGGGGAAGGCGCTTTGGAAGCAATATTGAAGTGAACAAGCCGTTCAACGCTTCTTCCATATGCAAAGCCCTGATTTTTTCCTGGAGAGCTTTTTGAAGCTTATCAAGCGATATGACAAATGTCTCAATGTACTTGGTACCTATGTGGAAAAATAAAGGTATGTCATATCTTTAATGTCTCATTCTATTTTTTGACTTTCATACACAACTCTGACCACAGTCGACAGGGGAAACTTATTTTTCAACTTACCCTCGTATCATTACTATTAGTCACAATCTAAAATTTGTATTAGAAAACTTTTCTTTAAATATATGTAATTAATTTCATTAGATTTATATTACCACAATGAAAAGTAGAAATGGTGCATATTTTAAAGTTTTATTACTCTTTTATTTAACTATTTAATTTTCTGTTAATTACAAAATATATTGTGATACACTTAAAGGCAGAGTGACAAAATATGTGTAAAATGGAAAAGAAGACATGTTTATTTTTAAGAAAAATTTTATTTTATGAAAAATACAATGACACAAAGATAATAATGAAATACACTTCTAATTTTTACTTGGTATACTAGAGAAAATTCATAACACAGAATTACTTATTAACATTTGATTAAACATCTCAAAAACTGCATTACAGAAAAAACAAGATTTTGAAAAGCAGTTTAAACTAATACAAAAAGCCATATTATAATTTATGGGAACAAAATATTAATGTTGTGAGCATAAACAGAAATACTGGTACAAAAGCAATTTAATTTGGAAGTGGGAAGAAAGTGCACAATCTTAAATTTGACATGGGCAGTGAAAAAAAAAGATGACTTCTATTCAAAAGTTTTGTAAGTTGCAAGAGCTCTCTTTTAGACCAGTTAGTAATTTTAATTTGGCATTAATTTGAAAATGGTAAAAATTCTGTCTGTTATAGTATTACTGATGTTCACTAAGCTGAAGCTTATTTTTTTAACAAAAAAAAAAAAAAAAAAAAAAAAGCAAATTTTAACATTTTCCTTTCACTGAACTGATTATAATGATTTAAAACATTTATTTTGCAGATAAAATTTTTCTGACTGTTGCAGTATGTTTTTCAGTGAAATGTAATGCAAATGTTTTATGAAATGTTGTAAACTGCTAATGTTCTAATCAAATTCAGCATGTTGAAAAAGACGTAAAAAATATTTTCAAAAAATATCAAAATTCACCTATGAGAAACTAAATGATTTATAATCTGATATTGTTCTCAACATGTTGGCAGTGTATGCTAAACCAGACATCTGAAACAATAGAACACATAACACACATTATATCATACATACTATTGATGTTTCAGTATTAAACATTACTTGAAAGCAAGTCTTATAAGTAAAAATTTTTAGAATTAATTAATATACACCATTATGGAAAAACAGTATTAATTATAAATAAACATAATCCATTGGGTAACCAAAAGTAAGGCACTTTTATATTTACAACAAATTCCTTTTTAAGGATTGATAGTGGAATATGAATGTTACATACTTAGCAGACAGGACAGCATTGATCATCAATAAGTCTTGGATTCACACAATGACTAGCTTGACATGTTTCAACCCAGCATGTTATCTGATTACTCTAGAAAATAAAAATTAGATTTAATATATAACTGTAAATATGCAAAGAAATGCCACTGAATATTTTTTTTCCTGAAGTTAGATTAAAAGCAGAAAAAGACTGTAGAGACATTAGGTATTTTTGGAAGCAGGCAAGATGAAAAATTAGCTACAGTGTCACCAGGAATTGAACTGTGGACCTCTGGAATATGCACCCAGCATGCAGACCACGAAGGCGGTAGAAATGCCTTATATACTCCCCCTTTTTAAAGGGCGACTGTGGTTTTTAGGGAACCCAATCGCCAAATCCTGGCTGTGGAGCATCATGTCATCCAGCATCCTTTTAGTTCAGGCACCACTGTAGAGACAGTAGGTATTTTTGGAAGCAGGCAAGATGAAAAATTAGCAACACCTTCGCTGAAAATTGAACCGCGGACCCTCTGGAATATGCACCCAGCGTGCAGACCACCACACCATGAAGGCATGCTTGGAAGGTGTGAGAAATACCTGATAGACAATTTTAAATTCAGATCAGTGCCAAACATTACTCAGCACAATTAGAGAAGCCCTCTTGTTAAATGATTTTATTCAAAATTTAGGTAAAATGTTAATAAAGAGCATAGGAAAACAATTCAAAATGCATATTAGCAACAATGACATCAAAATTAATGCTGAAGCAAAAATTGATTAATGGGTAGTTCTTTTGGAACTATGCTCTTATACTGCTTCTTAGGAGAGGAGAGGGTAATGTAGCATTTCATTTATAAGTGCGAGAGGCGCAGATCATGTGTTCTGTACTTTTTTGTAAGTACAATACAAAGTCAGAAATCCGGACGTCCGTTATCCAGAATAATCTAAAATCTGGACCTCAAAACCACCACCAATGTTTCTCTGGTAAGCTTTTCACATACACATTTAATTCCCTCCTCCGCGCATAATAAAGCATCTGGAGAGTCCCGTTTCATAATTTCACTTCGACATTAAATAAAATACCTTGTTATTGAAGAAACAACCATTTTAGCGTAAATTTGTATGATCAGTAATTTCGCTCCGTTGCTGCGTATTTGCTTGGCACACATCTCAAACCGAAACAGTCCACATAGATAATTGCTGATCTGAGAGCAGCCTGGCAAATCATTATTTATTATACTTTTCTTTCATCACCACATGTTTATCAAAACATGACCACTTGAGTAATGACTCATGCAGCGATGCCTAAACTTTTTTTTTTTTTTTATGTTAGTAATTGAATAATAAAGGAGTATGGTAACGTTTTATGTTGACATTACGCTTGGCGATAATTACAGATTTAAGTTAAATGTGCTAAAAAGTGTTGAAAAATTTACCAAAAATTTCTGTGTGTATGCTAGAAATAGATTTTGTTGATGATATTCATAAACCCAAAGATTACATTTAGGGCTATGTAAATTAAGAATAACTAACTTATTTGTTATTCACGTAAACCCAGAACCAGCGCCACGGCTCGTATGGCCACACCGAGCTGCAAAATAATAGGACCCACAGAGACTGCATCCAGCGGTAAGATATGTAGTGCCGACCCTCAAAGGCTTAAGTATATGTGGGAATTTATTTATTCAGAACTCTGATAAGCCTTAAGTATGTGTAAGAAATAGACATAAGTATAATAAATAACTAAAGTAATACAATTCAAGCTTAATTGTCTCATTGCGCGATAGAAGTGAGATAAAATTTAAGAGAACCGCTTGTCATTAGTCGCCAAGCTCGTGATGCATAGCCAAATATGTATAGTGAAGGATAGCTAAATTTGATGATGATAGCTGCTAATTTTAAAGATTTTCGGATATCGCAAAACAAAGGTGAAATTTTCTAAATAATGAATTTTGTAAAGAAATTTGGAGAAACTATAATAAATGAAGATGATATAAAAGAAGTTTTTTTTTGTAATGACAATGCTTCTCAATCATCAATCAATTACTGAATGGCGAAGTCCGTAGTATGGTTCTAGATCCAGAAAATACCACTATCGATAGTGAAGAAAGTGAAAGAGAAATTACTGAAAACGAGAAAATTTCAATTGACAAGTTAGTCAGAATTCTCAAAACAGCAGTTACGTGACTTCAACAATGTAACTAAACAAGAGATTATGTCTGTCTACAGAATTAAGAGAAAGTATTAGCACAAAAAAGGCGAAGCAACTTTAACAACCTGCATCGAAAGAAATGTTTAATAAGGTAAACAAATAAATATTAAGCTTTTCCTTTTTTTTTTTTTTTTTTTTTTTTTTTTTTGTAAATTTTGATACCCTTTAGATCATAAATACTTCATTATTTTATAAATCACTTCGTATTTTTAATTTTATAATTTCTACATGCCATCTTACTAGATTTAAACTGATGATCTAATATCCAGAAAAATCTGAAATCGCCAAAGTCTTGACGAGCCCGGATTTCGGACTTTGTACTGTATTATAAATATTAATATAATTTGTATTTGTGACTTGCATAATCTGCAGCATTTCATTCATGCGTGCGAGAGGTGCATATCACGTGTTCTGTTTTACATCACAACTTCTCTCTTGCCACACAGTCTCTTTTGATGCTGTTGGAGGGTAAAGGCTCCTGTTGCGAGTCTGATTATTATGTCAGAAATAAAATATATTTTTATTTAAATGCTGTTCCATGCTGTTTCATTCATAATCAGGAGTCAGATCAACCAATATCACCTTTACTATCTATTTCATGCTAGTATGACGAATGCAATTTGCTACAAAGGACTGCATAGAAAACTACGAGAAGGTTGGAAGCTGGTCAAATCAGACGAATCGTAGTTGTGGTGATGGCGATAAGGAGCGCGTCTTGCGCCCTCCAATAAGTGTGGCAACCCTAGAGGATAAGTTTCTTACGAGTAGCGAGCAGAGCGAAACAGGCAGGCTGTTGGGGAGTATGCGCGATGTTCCTAAATAAAGCATAATTTTTATTGTGCACTATGTCTTGTTAATATTTATATTAATGCAGTAAGAACATAATCTGTGATATGGAATTCGAGGATTGGTGGTAAAAACATAACAGGAAATCACCATAATGGTAACCCGGACTGTGTTAAATCGTATGAACAGTTCTCAAGCACTTTCGGTTTTGACTACAAGCCATCACTCAAGATCTCCAAACCAGAAGTAATGGATCACAGATGAGTAGTAATTATAGATCATTTTATAATTCTGTTTTCTACTTATCATTTAATTTCATTTTCTTTAGTTAAATTTTTGCTTTTATTTGGCTTAAAAACCTTGCACAATGTCTGATGTTCATGCCGTCCAAATTCCGGTTTATAACCGATCAGACCCATCTTTATGGTTTATTATGTGTGAAAGTACCTTTGCTCTTGCCATCCCCAAACCTATCACAGAATCCATTACTAAATATAATTATGTAGTTGCTCATCTTCATACAGATATCGCATCAATAGTACGGGATTTACTTATGAAACCAGACCCTATTGATCCATATACAAAGCTTAAAACCGAGTTAATAAATCGTTCGGGAGAATCTTCTCAGCAAGAAATTCGCCAATTATTATCTGGAGAGGAATTAGGCTCTCGAAAACCTTCCGATTTGCTTAGAAATATGAAACGTCGAGCAGAATCTTTAAATGTTCCTGATAACTTAATGTTAGAATTATTCCTTCAACGTTTGCCTTCGACTGTTCAGTCTATTTTGGCAGCGGTTTCCAATTTAACTGTAGATAAAGCTGCAGAAACTGCCGACAGAATTTTAGAAGTAAATCCAACCCCAGGGACTTGTGCCGTTCTCGCACAGTCGATCAGTCTCTTGAGGATAAATTATTTAAACAAATAGAAAAATTAAACAAACGTATTGATCGCATTTCTCTTTCTCGTGGTCGCTCACCAAATTGCGGAGATCGCAATAAGGAAAGAAGCAATTCCAAAAGGAGAGATTATTCTGTTTGCTGGTATCATAGACGTTTTGAGAAAAAGTGTAGAGATGACAAGTACAAAACCTTGTTCATGGCAGGGAAACGAAACCAGCAAAGAATAGAGGCGACTTATTCTTTGCCTCAAGTTTCACGTCGCCTGTTCGTTCGTGACCGTAGAACAAACCTTTCATTCTTGGTCGATACCGGCTCTGATGTATCCTTACTTCCAGCAAATAATTCTCAAAAACGGAATTCGTCCCAACAAACACTTTTCGCTGCTAATTCTTCTACTATTCATGTTTATGGTCAAAAAAAACACTTTCTTTGGATTTCAAATTAAGACGACAGTTTACATGGACTTTTCTTATAGCAAATGTTAGTACACCCATTCTTGGAGCAGATTTTCTCCATTTCTTTGAATTGGTCCCTGATCTCAGAAACAAATGTCTCAAAGATTTAAAACCGTCGGTTGCGTGAAAAATGCAAGCATTTATTCAGTAAAAACTGTATTTAGTGATACACCATATCACAAAATTTTAAAAGAATTTCCTTCAGTTACTAGATTACCAGATCCTAACCAACCTGTTAAACACAACACCGTTCATTATATCATAACTAAAGGTCCACCTGTGGTTGCAAAACCTCGTCGGTTAGCTCCAGATCGCTTAAAAATAGCAAAACAAGAATTTCAAACTATGATGCAATTGGGGCATTTGAGACCTTCGAGCAGCAATTATGCATCCCCACTTCACATGGTTCCAAAAAAGGGAAGTCTGGAATGGAGACCTGTAGGAGATTATCGAGCATTGAACGCTCAAACAATAAAAGACAAATACCCTATTCCATGCTTAGCCGATTTTACTGCTGCATTGCACGGTACTAAAATTTTTAGTCATGTTGACCTGATTAAGGCATACCATCAAATACCAATTAACCCAGCCGACATCCACAAAACCACCATATGCACACCATTCGGTTTATTCGAAAGTACCCGTATGCAATTCGGCTTATGCAATGCATCCACGACTTTTCAACGTTTTATAGATGAAGTCACGCGGGATTTAGAAGGTGTTTACACTTTCGTCGATGACTTGCTCATAGCCTCTA